TGTGTAATCAGTATTTTGTTGACCTAGATGAAATCTTGCTTAAAGTTGCGTGGTCAATAGTAATAAAAATCTTGAAAAGAGAGATGAAAAAAATGGAAATAAAATCTCACACATTTAATCACCTAGGTGGTGCATTAAGTGGCACTAAATAATATGCTTATTTAAATTTCATGTTTTTACCTTTAATTGAATCTATCATTTAATTCCATCTTGAATGATACTTCGCTCAAAGGTCGTTATCTGCTAACTACCCATATATACTGAAGTAGCCTTCCATAGTCACCTCTATTAGAACTTGCTTATACACAGCACTTTTAAAGAAATAAACAACGTGGAAAAAATTACTTACATGTTAACCAGCAACAAGAAGTTATATCTTATTCTTATTAAATTCAAGGTGAATATAAATGTTGATTTCTCAAAGGTCCTTTATAGCATAGTAAAGGCACATGCCTATGACTTTTTGCTCTATCTTACCGATGTCTTTGCATTGCTTCAGATGTACACTAGGTTTGTCTTTCTTAGATACCTTTGTAATGGAAGGTAGATCATTTGGACAAAAGCATACCATTTTTACACTCACAATATAGACTCTCCATTAGATTTCCTATTCCGCCATCCGAGAATTAAAGCTTTGAGTCAATTGCTCTCGTTGCTTTCTCAGCATCTGCAAAAGCTCTTCTTGAAGCTTGGTGATTTGACCCTTCAAGGTGTTAATCCTCTCTTCCATAGAGTAGATTCTTTTTTATTCTCTCTCCTTCCCCAACTACTACTTTACTTTATCCTATGCGTAATTCTCCATTAAGGTATGGAAACTTTTCACATTGTTTCTCCCAATAGCATGAAGGAACTGCCCCCAAAGCCCTATGTACCGTTTAGACTAAAATTGCTCTACGTAAATTATATTTAACTAACAGCAGAAAGTTACATAAAATTTCTGCCAATAATATTATTCAACAAACTTGACATGAAAAAAACATTATCACAAGTTAAACAACTAAATCCATATAATCAGAAATTTTATTTCTCTCCAGCTTATTCAATAGCATTAGTTCTCATCATCATCATCATCCCAAGTTCCCAAATAATTTAACTTCATGCACCATATTTCGGCGCCTTCCAGAGCTTAAAAGCCACTTCATGCAAAAATCTATCAGCAGGTATAACAAGATTTCCACCATGCTGCATCAAAGAGATTCAAATGTTAGTGCAAAGTTGAAATAATGGTGCAACATGCAAAGTTTCAAAAGTATCATCGAAGATTCTCCAAAGAAATTTGTAAAAATCCTAGCCGAAGGAATAAACTTCTGAAAATAGTTCGATTTAATACACAATCATACGATCAACTAGAATTTAGAATTTAATACAAATGCAAAATGGACAGAAGACAGACAAATTATGATGCTTCCGAGTGAGGTAAAATTAAGACAAATCTTCTTAACCATGTGATCACTAAGACATCATCTCCTTGTTCTGGATCACTTTCAGTAGAATGCCAGTTACATTGATCCATATAATTCTATGCCTCCGCTTGGTATAGATTCTTCGAAACTCATTTTCAACTACAAATTTTCTTGATAAAAATTTTGCACCTGAACCCATAATTTTTCCCTACTTTTTACCATAATTGTCCTAAAAATCAATTTTCACAAAATCTAAAAAAAATATACATCAAAGATGCCCCATGTATGTAACAAAATAGGAAGAAAATGACGATGCCAACAGTGATAACATGCCAGTGTTCACATTGAACACAGCAGGTGTACTGGTGAAAAAGGCATATTAAAACTAAGTCGAGCTAATTCAAGGATTTGAAAGCCTTCGTAATTTTTCTTATAGATGGGAATATGCTTCTGCTCCTTAAGATTGAGAGGAGAAGATAAATTTAATACTTGATAATATAATTGTCAAACAAAATCTAGTGTACTTGTCATGTATTGGTTTGGAACTTAAATTGAGCTTGCCTATCCAAATTACAAAGTAAATGAATGATGATCTATGCAATAGTCCACTCTATGATGCTCTTATGTATAACACAAATTAAGTAGGGCTTTCTGCATGCCAACCAGATCACACGTTTTTTGAGCTTTGTATAGCTGGAATCAAGATCGAGCCTGCTTAGCTGGTCAATCCGGCAAAGCCTGAGCTCGTTACAACTCATTAGCTTGCAATTGCTTGTTGTTTATATATTATTATCTTAAAATTTAATATTTATTACTTATATAATTACAACTTCTGATATTACTTGTATAGGAAACTAAAAATAAGCAATAATACTAAGTTGAGCTTAAGCTCAAATCAGGCTTACATAACACTCAAGTTCGAGGTCAGATTTTTATTTTTACATTGATTAGTTTGAAGGCTCAAAACATTAAGTTTGTTCTAGCTAAAATTAAAATTTCTTATATTTGCTCGAGCTTAGAAATTTTCATGCGTTCAGCTAAGATTGGCTTGTCTGCATCCTTAATATTAAGGTATATGTGCTCTGAATATCTATAGAAGCAGTAAACTACTTCAAGAACAGTATAACGACAAAAAATTTCTCAAAAGTAAATTTAATATGTACCTCAATAAAATCTCTAAAAGAAAATTCCTCAACCATATCCTTGCGTGTAACAGCATTCTGCCACTGTCCAACTAGCATTGGACTGTAGTGCCTGTTATCGAATTCATCAGATTGAGTCATAATGCAGGGACTATGGATAATACCCATTAACTTTAACTTACCTAATGTTCTTGTTTGGCTTCCCCCCTTTCATTGTGTAACTTTGACGAGGGAAAAGCAGTGAAAGTTCATTGTTAATCTTGAGTTTAGCATCAGAAACTACAAAGATTGAATTGTCATCGTCTAGAGTAGCCCCATAGCTCATTATAATAGACATGTGCAACCGAGAGCCAATATCAGATTCCGGTTGTGCCATGTGCATCAGCTCACCGACTAAATGGGTAATAAATTCTATGTCTTTGAGATCATTTATTTTTTCATCAGCTCCAACATGAACAAAGATGAGATCAAACTGGTTGGTCTCTAAAGTCTTTCCTTCTTGAAAGCCGAGCAATTTCAGCAATTCAGTTGCTAGAAGTGACAAATTTAACTTATTCCAATGCAACACGTTCAAACCAAGTCTACTTCCCAAAGAATTCAAACTAGAGTTATTAGTGATTATAGCTGCTTTCATTCCATTAAACCTGAAAATTGGCGAGATTAATATCTTGTAATACATAAATACTTCAAAATTAAAATGAAGAGAGTCGAAAGAGCAAAAATATTCCACCTTTCTGGTACAGTTGGCACTACATGCATCTCTTGAGATTTATCCCCAACAAATTCTCTAGCAACCTGAAAGGCATTAAAAGGAGCTTTTAGGATCTCTGCCCTCATCATCAGCGTAATTTTCACATTATAAGTAAAATTCATAATTGAAGAAAATTAGTAGCAACAATCAGTCCCACCATGTTTTCATACGCTTCACTTGCATCTAGAAGCTCAGAAAATTCCCTAAATATTCTTACATCCTCATTTTCTGCAATCTAATCTCCAAATAAGTACAAAGAATGATAAATGAAAGTAAATATACATCGAATGACTTCTTACCATGTAGCCAAACAAAAGAAAAGATTTCCACTTTGCAGGATGAAATGATAAGTGAAAAAAGGTTAAACAACAACAAACAAAAATATGAATATAGAACGTACGCAACACGAAAAATAAGAAAACAGGCAGCAGATTAGACGAGAAAAGCAAATAACAAATTTTGACATAATCAGAAGATAATTGCAATAAACAAGGTGCCATAGCCCAGAAAATGTAACAAACTAACAATTTGAAGGGATGCAAGCAGTCTTAGATTCGCAAGTGAAATCAACATGAAAAGGCGAAAAATCCCACCCTTGTGCAAAAGATTCTTTCATCCTTTCTGATATATATATATATATATATATATATATATATATATATATATATTTACAAGTTCTTTTATGAAAGCAAGTTCTTTTTAACAAAAGTCTATTACTTTGGGAAAGAGGGATAGATTCAGCCGTCACATTGACATTGAAACTCGACTATGAATATGAGAATAGCTGAACTTGGAAACTCAAAAATGGCTACATTAAAGTTTTGACATATAAGATTGCTTCCCCCTAAATATGCATTTAACTCAAATTTCCACACCCTCTTCTCCATCACATGGGTGAACGATCACTAAACTTCAATTCCTGTTATAATCTAGCAGGAACTAGTGCAGCTTCGAGCCAGGGAAACAACATAAATAGGTATAACGAGGCAAATGCATTCGTTCTGTGAAGCTAAAATCATCTGCTAAATGTGGATACTGCACCAACCATTGGATTTTAAGGACTTTGCTATGTGTATATCAAACTTTACATAATAGATTACATAATATCACATGCCGCTCCATCATTTGCCAGTTTAAAACACAATCAATTTTTTAATCCAATTTTTTCCTTTCATTTTCCTTCATAAATATTTTTTATGTACAAGTAGGATAATCTGGATTTTAAACTAGACGGAATACGACTTACAACCAAAAACCAATTGTGGATATTATTATTAGATAATATGTCGTCGTTACGAGTACAGAGTACCAAAGTAAGGCTCTGGTGGGAATTGAAATTGTTTTTTTTATTTCCGCTGTGCACGATAAGTCATCCTAGGGGGAATGGCATTGAATCAATATCAATGCACCGCTCCACGGTTTCCTCCTAGGATGATAGCATGGGTCATCAGATTTGGTATTGTCCTTGTCTAATTTGACTGCTTTGTTATTGCCCTTAGCCTTCTTGGAAATAAATAATAGATCTTGCCAACAATAAATACATTAAACATTAAAAGTATTTACGACCTAAATCGATGGGATGTATGGCATAACAGTTACATGCTCATGATTATTACCTTCCACTTTGCTTCACAAAAATGCATAAATTTGGCAACTAATTATTCACATTTCCCATCCATCCAACAAATAAAGTAACCAAAACAATAACTTAGAACAATTTCATTAGATTTCTCAATTGCATGCCTGCACCTAATCTCTCCGTAAAAAATATAGAGAAGGCCATCCAAAATAGGAATTTTGAAGAGAAATAATTTTACCGGATGGAGGCGAGTTAGGGAGGGCAAGGAAGCCGCAGCAGGCCCGAGTAGCAAAGGAATGTAAGTGGGTGTGGGTCGGGCTGACAAATCGGGCCAGCCCATCTCCGTACAATACTAGCGCCCTGCTTGGCTTGTCTGCCATGCTATCTGAGAATTGAGAAATACAGAAAGGGATTGTGTATTTGTTACTGAGCGAGGAGAGGATCTACGCTGTGTGCCCACTCCAATAAACGCCAAGGATGGATTTCAAGAGAATAAAGCAATTACTGTCCCAGTCGCCTCTTAACTGTTATATTCATGGTTGTACAGTGATTTGACGCATAATCCCATAAAAAAGTTATCATATTAATGCATCAAATCACTACTATATCACGTAGGGTGATTATTATAACGAACGAATGCAAATAAAATTACCCATTTAAAAAATTAAAATAAGGTTTTGAAACTCAACACCTTTCGGACACTATCAATTAATTATATAAAAGTATTTCCAGTTATGAGAGCTTTTAGAAGATTTTTTTTTTTTCAAAATAAAATGTTCTTTTAAAAATTAATTTTCGAATACTCATTAAAGTTACTTCTTCAAAAAACTCTTTTACAAAAAATAGAATTTCTACAAAACGGCCCTAAGATACTCCGTGCTACCTTCTTCTCGCTTAGAAAACTAAGCTTGTGTTTGACATTCATTTCTATGGAAAAATGAATTTTAGAATAGTAGATTGATAGAAAATGTGTGGATAAAAAATAATAAAATGTTTTTGATTTACGTGTAATATTATTTTAATGAAGAATATGTGATTAAAAAAAAATACATTTTGATAAAAATGAAAATCAAACGAGGCATAAAATGACAAAAGAATGAGATTCTTGGCAGGTTTCTTGCTCAAGTAAACAACAGTGAGAATTGCAGTTAGTTTGGAAGAGGAGAAAAAGCTCCATGTAATCTACCTTGAGCTCTCCTTCGGAGCTTAAAGTTTACCTCTTGACAATGGACTCTGCTCAGTGCATGCTTATCCACAAACTTTATCTTTTCACTTACACGACAAAAAATTAAGAATACACATCAGCTTAAGGAATGAATATGTTACAAAGCCATCTAATCTGACAAATATAAAATGCTAAATCTTGTCCATTGTATCGTCTAATTCTATTTAATATCGTGCACGGAATAAAATTTCACGATAGCTGGTTTTTGGCGGTGTTGATTTGCTGCCTAACTCTGGAGCACAATTTGCCTAATCCTGAACCAAATGGGTACATGTAAGAGGGTAACTTAGATTGTGGGCGGGAACACGCGTGTAAAGTCAAAATCAGTAATTAATTTTAACAATATATTTCATGGGATTTATAAATTTTTGATTGTACATTTCATCAATTTTTATCAAAATTTACTAAAACTTTAATTTTAATCCATCAAACAATAGAATAGGAGGAAGCCGAAAATCGGCTTTGTAGACCATTAGTTTAGAAAATAGCAGCAGTTACATTTACCCCAAATTTATAATAAATATTTTACATTTTATTAGTATTGAAAAATCTCCACTTTTATTTAGCCAAAAATTATGTTAGCGTGCTAGAAATAAAGGAAAAAAATTCGGTCACAGTTTTGTATTTGTTTTTTTTTATTAAAATATGAGTGGTAATAATTCTTCCTACTCTCCTTTATCGAAATCTTTGAAAGAAAATTCTCATCAAGTATAATAATATATGTAGAAAGTCAGGAATAAAAATGATATTAAAAATTTGGGGACATACCTGTGATAATAGCCCCAGTTTGGTATGACTTAAAAGTTTGCTAAAAATAGTAAGTCAAAGTTAACAATTAATTTCAACTACTCATTTCATGAGATATACAACTTTATCAAATTTATTTTTTTAATTAAATTTTAATTCAAAGGAAAGAAAGCGTGAAGCTTTAGCCCTTGTTTGGCCATCATTCTTTTTCTCTCTATTATTTTCAACCACACAATCTTCCATAAAATAATATTACACGTAAATCAAAAATTTTTCACTATTTTTCATCCACATTATTCCAAACATTAAAAGTTGGAAAGAATGGGGGCCAAACGGGGCTTAATAACTCGTACTTTTCAATGTTTTCATGTAATTAAGTACTTGTTAAATAATATAAGTCAATATATTTAGCTGAAAAATGTGTTTATTTACCAAAAAGTTGTGATGGCCAACAAATATGCTCATCTACATCATCTTCTCGACACAACCTTGATTCAGTTTTGAGTAGCAATTGGAATGTGCAGGTTAAGGGCGACACGACTTGCCAACATAATTGTTGACACATAAAAATTCAGCCCAAATTGAACGGTCCAAGGAGTAAATCCCAATTGGAAGATCCCCAAATCAGATAGCCCAAAGAACGAAACTCAATCAAACAAATCAATATGAATGCCCAAATAGGGAGGCCCAAGAACGCGGTAACGCCATCGCCCAAACTTGCAAGTCGCCCAGAATCTGAGCGAATGGAGTGTCATACAGTCGCCCAGAGCTGTTACTCTATTCTCGCTCAAACCTTCAAGTCGCCCAAGATCTTAACAAACATAAAACGTCGTGGTTATCAAGAAGTGCAGTTATCAAAGCAGTTATTAAAGCAGTCCTATCACGTTCCACGATTTAAGGAATTCAATCGAAAGCGGTTGAACGACGAAAAGTAATGGCAGCAGTTAAAAAAGGCAGTTTTCATGACAAGTTGGTCATTACGAGGAAAGTGAGCAGTTATAGGACTATCAAGCATTTTTTTAGGCGGTTGCAAAGAGATCGTCCACGAAGTATAAAAGGGAGAAAAGACATAAAGCAAAGGACCGAATCAAAAACTCTCGAACAGAGAACATGTAATTTTAATTTCCTTAACTTAGACTTAAACACTTTTTTCAGTAACTCGTGTGCTTGCACCCCTTGGAGGCACTTTGTTTTTAATTTCCAATTGTAAAGTCATCGCCAATAAAAGAACACCCATTTTTGGGACTTTGTCTCAAGAGGTTTGTCCCTTACACAATCGTCTGATCCTTTTTAATTGTTAGCGACTAACTCGCGCGAAACAATTTGGCACGCCCAGTGGGACAGTGGTGTTTGGTGTTGAAAGTACAAAAGGTAAACCAATATGCCTCAGAGATCCGATAAGGAAGCAACAAGTTAGGGAGGAATCCAATCTGTGATCGAGCGATATGAGGAGCAGCATGCCTCTCCACGAACAGATGGACAGAATCAGAGCAGTAATAGTCGTTACGAACCAATGACGGAGTTGAGTCCTCGAACCATGCGTGCATTACTTGGAGAACTCACACAAGACGTTGTTGAATAGGTAAATCTTCGAAGTATTCATAATATGGAAAGATTTATCAAAAATGGGAATGCACACTATGACAATATGGCCAAACAACTAAATACTTTGAACGAAACAATGAATAAGTTAGTAGGCCAAATATGTCAACCGGTTATACCTCTTGCAAATCACTTTCAAACCAGGACAATTGTGGGACATAATCCCTCAATCCTAAATCCGAATCAAGGGGTATAACCACTTTCTGGTCCCTCCACTTCAAACTAAGGGGGTACTGCAGTGCCAAATCAGAACAATGGTAGTGGTACGCCCAACTTGGGGGGTAATCCAAACATAAGAGATAATATCCTAAATAATGGACAGCACACCCCACGTGTTAGTGAGGGAATAGATGTTCAGGCTAATGGTAATGGCCTTAATTATGGTAATTTTGTTGCCAATCAAGGACCAAACATCAGGCCTCATGCAAATCAACCGGTTAATCAGCCTGTAGGAATTTCATATGATCCCAACGTCATGTTGAGGAATCAGATTATGGAAATCGTACAGGATTAGGTGGCTTTTGGGGTGCGTCCCGTCATTAGGCCGACGTACACAAAGCCATATCCTGATTGGGTAGACCAAGCACATCCATGGCCTAGAGGGTACAAAGTGCCAGAATTCTCACTGTTTACCGGTTTAGGAGAGGTGTCTACTCTAGAACACATAGGGCAATTCACATTGCAAAGTGGTGATGTAACCAATTACCATAAAATGAGGCTTTTCCCCAGTTCGTTAACAGGAGTAGCTTTTTCCTGGTTCATCAACTTGCCAGCGAACTTTGTTCAAACATGGCAACAATTGGAACAGTTATTTCACGCTCAGTTTTATAAAACTGAGTCTGAAGTCACTTTGACTGATTTGGCGAATCTACGTCAAATGCCAAACGAATGGGCAGAAAGTTTTCTCCAAAGGTTCAAGACAGCAAGAAGCAAGTGTTTTGTACCTCTGCCCGAAAAAGAATTTGTCAAAGTCGCTCAGGGCTGCTTGAGCTTTGATTTAAAAAAGAAATTTCAGGACAAGAAATTTCCTGACCTTTTCCAGTTGAGTGCGAATGTGATTAGGTATGAACGACTGATAAGAGAGGAAGAACAGATGAAAAATTCTAGTAAAGGGACTTATTACAAAGACCCAAATTTTGATGTTCATACCATCAGCGACGAGTCATACAACCAAGCTGAAATGTGTTTGGTCGAATTGGTCAAAGGAGATACATATACTTGTCCCATAATGGCCAAGCCTAGACCATCTGGCAAAGATGAGCCCATAAAAGATGGAAACATAAAGGCTAGAACGTTCTCGTTCGACGTAGCCAAGGCTGACCTTATATTTGATAAATTATATAGGGATAAGCAGATAAAGTTGAGCGATAAGCACAAATTGCCAAACCCTGAACAAATTAAGGGTAAAAAATATTGTAAGTGGCATAATGTATGGTCACATTTGACTAACAATTGCTTGGTTTTTCGCCATGTATTGCAGGATGCCATTGAATCAGGACGAATTACATTCGATGATAAGAAGAAGATGGCATGGACGAAAATCCGTTTCCACAGCCACTTGGAGTGAACATGGTGACATCTGGATTCAAAAACAAGTTGCCAAAATTCAAGTTGGTCGTAGATGATGGAGAAGAGAACCCTAGACCACATCCCAATGTCTTTGAACGAATCAAGGGGAAAGAACCAAAAAAGGACGAAGACGTCCTGTGCGCAAAATGTAAAAGAGAAGTGAATAGCAATACGGAGAAACCAGGGATATGGCAGCATCCTCACCGCCCTACCTTCTTCCCAAACACTCAGCCTGGTAGAGGGCGAGGTACATCATTCTATAGAGGACCACCTTTTGAGAGGCAGTCCAGACCAGCAGATAATGGAAGAACATTCAGGCCGCAACCTCGCCGGCCGAATGTGTGGTATTCATTCCAGTATAATGCAGGAAGG